TTAAACTGAAATCACCACAACTGGCTTATATACTACCAAACAAGATACTAACCGTGTTTCAATACAAATGTAATGCTAATTTTGAGCTAATCTTTTGAAATAAATAACAATAATAAAAATAATAATAAACAAAGCTATTATGTGTTTTCTTCTTCTTGTAAGGTTTTATGGTGGTTGGTGAAGTAATTAAAGTACATTACCGCCACCAACTGATAAGGAGTTAAACAAGGAAACAGGAAACAAGACCAACCCTCAGAATTAATAAATAAATAAAAATAAAATAAATTAATAATGTTTTTCTGAACTGATTAATTAACCCCAAATAATAAATACTTAATCAAAAATAAATATGGATCCAGGCTCAAAATGAGCTCCTTGATATGCGCTTCAGAATGGCTTTGTCTCCATTTAAACCCAGGTTTAAAGCCTTGCAGGGCAGCATAAAGCCCACTGCCAACATTAAGACAGAAAAAAGAAAAATAAGAAACTGTCAATTCAGGTGTTTTACTAATAAACTGAGTCATTAAATTGTCTATATACCAAACTGAAAGATTGTTATTCTCTACTTCAAAAACTATGTAGATTTTGAAATGGAAAATCTTTCTATTTTTTTTAGATTTCTTTTATTTAAAAATTCAATACATAACATGGATGCATAAACACTTGCATTGTATTTCAGTGTTAAATGCTGATTAAAGCAACGGATTCTAATTAAAAATGTGTCCGGACCTTTACTGGTTGTTTATTTTCTTTATTCGGACCCCGCTGATTTTTAATTGGTTACCCCTGATCAAAACAAAAAGAAAATAAAAAAATAAGCAAAACAAAAGGCTTACCAGATATTTGATTTCATGACATGTAATCTATAATGTTTGTTTTTTTTACTGTATTTAACAGTACATTGTACTTTTTAAACAATTTACTGTTTTAGATAAATAAATGTTGCATTTATCTATTTTATGCAGTACATATTAGATATTTTTGCCCTCCCTAAACCTCAGATCACATCACAATGATTGCGAAAATCATCTCACCTACTTGGTGTCTCGTGACCCGTTGGGGTTCCTCTCCCCTACTTTGAGAACCCCTGATGTCGAAATAATGACATCGACCTTAAATAAATCCTCTTACTTGATTTCTACCAGAAAGTTCAACAAGCATTGTCACCTTAACTATTTTCTTGCAGCAGTTGTTAGAATGATACAAACTTTTTTGCCTTTCTTGAAAAGCATTTGTTTTTTTTCTGGATAAGAAAAATGTTTCACGTCATACTTATCACTGATAAAAAGTGAATTGTCCAAGCTAATATTCTTTTCAGAGACATATTATCTTCCTGCAATTTAATATGAATAATATTTTTGGTGTTTTTATCATATCTTTACCGAAGGATTGTTAGAGCTGTGGAGGTTGCTGTTCCTGCATGTAACCCTTATTTTAGATGTTAAATGGAGCCTAGGCGGAAGTTCAAATGAATAAACTGATTACTCGCCTTCATCTGCCTACGACACAGCCAACCAGCTTTGAACCACATCTCCACGAAAGCCAATCAGAATCCAAAGTTCATCTTAAAAAGCCTCCAGTCCGCAACTCGTCTGCTACCTAGTGCACAGGCGATGGATGCGCTGTGTCTTCATTCAGATGACCCATTTTCAACCCACCTCCAGCCCCTCCTTCACCAATGTAGCTAAAACTTCATTAGGGTGTCATTTCTCCCGGACAATTACTGCGTTCTGCCTCTCATTTCAACTGGTCTGGCAGAAGACCGCCATGTTGAGCCTGGTTCTGCCAGAGGTTTCTTCCCAATGGGGAGTTTTTTCTCTCCACTGTCGCTTCATGCTTGCTCATCATGGACAGGTTCTCTCAACCTGTGTTATCCAAACTGGACTTCCATCTTCCAGGTCCCTGAGTGAAGCTCTAGTATCAGCTCACGCAGTCCATTGGATCTCCCCATAAAGCTCAGCAGACCGTCTCGCTAACCAGCAGTCTACCGACTGACCAACTTCATCTATCTGCACTCCACCAGTTTCAGGCCTGGGGGGGAAACAGCCCTGTTCTTTACTGCTGTTCATGCATATCTATCAAAATTCAGTGCTAAGTTTCCTGCCGAAGTCTGAGCGCCAAAGACCAATAATTGTATCAATAAATATCTTCTAATTGTGTTTTCTCTCTGTGTGAGTTTTTCAGATTATTTTTGCCATGATAATTTCTGAGCTGTAGTACAAGAAGCTGACCAGCTTTCTCTCTGCCCCCTCAAGTCCTTCTATTCAGATGCTGACTATGCCAGCAGTAAACTGTAAATTTGAGTCTGGACTGTGTGGACCCCTGACATCAGCTACATGGCACTGCTGGCACACTAAAACCTCCTAAATCACTCTAGCAGATGAGGTGGGAAGCAGCTGTGAAAGTCTACAGATTGACTGCCGGGACCAGCGGCCAACGTTCACAGAGGGAAGCTGCGCTGCCGATCGCTCACGCTCTGCTCCTCTTTAACTGTCTGCATCACATCCACTGAATTAAAACAAAATTTCTCCCTGGGAAACCGTTAAAAACTGTCACACAGGAACGGTGAGAGAGGATTTGTTTAAGACCGGGATGGCGGGTCTCTGAGGGGCAGTAATGCGCACTGTGGGCCTGTTACAGTGACAGCAGAGATCAATGCTGATCATTGCAGCTTATCCGGTAAACACAGCCGTAGTGTTAATCTCAGGGGTAAACAGCTCATTTTCCTGCCTGCTATAAAACCTCGTCTTGAAATAACCAACGGCTCCACGGCCACAGTAATTGTGTAAAAACCATAATGAGTGCTTCCATTTTTGAACAATAAAGGGTTATATGAAAAAAGAAAGCGTGATGCAGGACATCCATCAGCACACATCAGAGCTCTGACGGCGCAGCTTATGCTGCCATAAAACCTGACTGGGCCAGGCTGACGGGAGACCTCTTTTTTTTACCCTGGTTGTCTTTAAGTATATTTCTCCCTAAGCACCATCTCCTCAGCATTACTGCAGCTACTCCATGGTAGTTTGATTCATGGCCCTGGACTCTTCTGTTCTTAAAAATACGACTTTATGAGCGTTTTATCATCAGCGTAAAAGCTCAATCACTCCGCCGGCCTCTCCACAGAAGCAATTAGCTGTGCTTTGAAAATCAAAAGTCTTAAAAAGCTTTTATTATTAATCCACAGAGGAGGCCTGAATTTGACTAGACTGATAAAAGCGTAACCGCATTCCAGAGGATGCACAAACACGGAGCCTGTAAATGTAGGGGAGCTTGGTGAAGTGAAAGGTGGCGTCACAAGTGCATTTATTGGTGCGTGTCGTGGTCGTGAGTTGACAGGCAGCCGGAGGAAAAGAGAGGCCTGATGGGTATTATGCAAATGAGGCCAGCTGTTTGGTGCATTGGCACACTGCTCATAACGCTCCCTGCTTGTGCTGGAAGTAAGGAAATTTTTTATTTCCCCTGTCAACACTTTCCCGAACCCCTCTCTTTATTTCCTCAGAGAAGGCATTTTTGTTTGTGCTCTATATACATTTCTGCCAGCATTTTGCCCTCCTACCTCCATTTAAGCAAAAGCTGTTTCCCTTTTTTTCTTTTTTAAGGATTTCTTCCTCATTCTTTTTTCTCTTTTTCAGTCGCACATGTTTCTAATCACTAAAAGAACTGTAATTCCAGACAAAAAAAAGGAACCATCTAGTCCTACATTAAAATATAAACGCCTCTTTGGTAAATCATGAGATAACTACAGAAGCTGGACTCAGATTTAATAGCTCACCCAACTGGGATTCCTATGACATAGGGGAGACCTGGAAAACCATTAGGGAATGAGTAACAGTGACGCCAAGACAAATTCTTCCCAATACTTTCACTATGGCAGATAGCAAGTTGTTGTGCTTTTTTTTGCTTGTATTTTTAACAACAACCATGCAAAAATCCAATAAATCAAGTGAGGTTCACTTTATGGGATCGGTCATACACAGTCACTAAATGGATGGACGATCTGACAGCATTCCCTATGGTTAATCAACCCAACGTCTAAACATAGCAAACTGAAAAATAAAGAGAAAAAGAGGACGATCTGAAGTTCTACCTAGCTACAGCTAGGCTTGAAAACAACAATATAACAGGCCTGGGTGGTTGTCAATGGAGGAATTTTACTTAATTCAATTCTGTTTATTCATAAAATGCCAAATCCCAAAACATGTTTTCTCAAGGCTCTTTACAGAGACAATTCAACCAGACAATAGTCAGATTGTTCAGAAGTTTCTATTAAGGAAAACCTGATCACATCTCGTCATTGATTGGCAAGATACAGTATGCTTCTCCCGCATGAGCATGTGATGACAGTAGATATTTATTTGCATTTTGTTGACAATCCCTCATACCGATTATGTCTCCAGTGAAAAACTCCCCTTTAAGAGGATGAAACCTCCACCAGGACCAGGCCCAGTGTGAGCGGCCTTCTGCTGAAGCCGACTGGGGTTCAAGGAGACAGAAGAAGACAAAGAAAAACAAGCAGAGATACAAAAGGTAAATGTCAACCAGCTCCATAGGTGGCCATGTCCAGGAAACACACGGCCAACCAGATGAGCTCCGAGCCATTTTCCATGTCAAAGGATAAAAGACTTACTGTGACTAACATACAGTTAGTCCTGTTTCTCTTACTGTGACTAACATACAGTTAGTCCTGTTTCTCTTACTGTGACTAACATACAGTTAGTCACAGTAAGAGAAACAGGACTACACTGAAAAAATAGGCAAAGCTCCAACATCTATAAACAAAGGTGATGATGGCAAGGGCATAGCTAAAACTTCTCTCCAGGATGGGGTCACATCAAACAAGAACAGACCAGATAAACTACGATGCTGATAAAAATCAGAGAGAGCATAAAGTTAAGGGTGGAATTTAACAAATAATAAATAATTGGAGAATAAAGGGAGAATGAATCAGAATGATGAAACGTGGTCCTTATGTCCTCCATGTCATACTGCAGGTCTGGTGTCTGTCTCTCTCTCTTCTCTGCAGGGTGTGATGGGCAGGTGCAGCTCATCTCGGTTAATTTTGGAGCCTACTTAAGGAGCTGGGACCAGGAGGAGGGCGTCAGTTCTTTCTCGCTACCAGCGTGGTATATGACCGACCAGTTTTCTAGATTCGTGTTCAAACCTGATCTAATCCTGTCTCTCTGTTTTTCCCTCCTAGCCACCAACCAAGCCAGTTTGCCACAGCCCTCCTCCAGGAGCCCACCTGCCTGTCCACCCTCCTACAAACCATCACCTGAGGAATGCAGAGTCAGTTGCTCCTGGACCCTGGACACATCCTTCCTAGCTCAAGACAACCTCAAGCCCCGTGAGTTCAGCATCCTCCACCTTCCCTCCACCTCAGATCAGTTGTTCACCATCACCCATCTTTTCCCTAGGCTGTACCAGGAAGATCCTGCCAGACTCCATTTTCTGTTCCTTGTTTCAATAAACTTTTCCTTAAACTGATCTAACTGTCTCCGTGGTTGCCCTGATTCAGAGTCGTTCTTCTCTCACCATGACACTCCAGCACTCTAAGCCTACAGCAGCATAACTTTTGAGATAACTCAGGATAACTTGAATATTATCCCCTTTTTAAAAAAAACTTTTTCGTATTTATTTTCTTTTAAATTTGCATTAATTGCTTGTACTCTTTTTTCTTTTTTGAGAAATTTCGTTGCACCCCTGTGGAGCAATGACAAATAAAGAATTCTGATTCTTATATTATAGATGAGGTATGAGGAAGGTAGAAACAACTACATCTTGACAGCAGGCTTGCATGCCTGGATTACCTCACAAAACCATAATCCATATGAACCAAGGGCAATATTTTATCCCCTACCTAAACATGTTTGATGATCGCTTCTGACCAGTCACCTTGTTTTATTGGTTTAACCACAGCTGCTGTAGTATTTTTTTTTCTGGCAGTGGCAATAAATAAAACGCAAGAGAAAGCAAGGAAGCTACAGTAGTTTCTCTGCAGAGAACAGAGTTTCCCCGGCTACGCTGTTATCTTCCTAACCAGACAACATAACGTGGAAAGTAAATTATCCCAATAATTCAAGTGGCACTACATTAAATAATTTCCTCAAAAAAGAACCAGTAGATATTGTGGCTGTGTGTTTGTGTCACTGTTGAGAGAGATGTTCAAGAAGAACTTATGTTAAACTTAGTTGATATTCTATTGCCTTTTTACGTAAACTTATGTATAGAAAAACCACGATCATTGCTTTTTTCTTTTATATCACAGCAATTGCATCATGATAAACCATTTAGTTTTAGTAAATGAAAAATATTACTCAAGGGTAGCATATAGGGTGGCCAGATGTCCGGCTTTAGGGCGGACAGTCCGGATTTTCATTGCACTGTCCGGCGTCCGGCGCCGCATCCAGCCGGACGTGTATTTGCCCTCCTTTACCCACAGATTCCACATACTCCGTCAGCGCTCCGCTCCGCTCAAGTACGTCGTGCGGAGTACTTGTCTGTCATGTAAATCAATGAGAGCTGTTCCACATCCTCCACTACTCCTCCGCACGTCTCTGTCCACGTACGTCTTCTCCGTCCTTCACCGTCAAAATATGGAACTGAGCTCTTTTTGGCTCCGCTCCCGTCAGTCCAGATCAAGACCCGCAATTGCAATCGCACCAAACAGGATAAAGAATGTAGAGAGGACCCGGTTTGTCAAATTAAATTATAGTAAAAACAGGTCGGTTACTAGAAATTAGAGCATAGTTCGTATATATTCCCAAAATTAAGAGCAATTAAATAAATAACTGGATGCAGAGTATTGGTGCTTCAACAGACCAAAAAATTCTTATTGCAGGAATGGATGAAGAGATGATGAGTTTGGAAGCGGAGAACAAACATAGTTCATACAAACTATGGATGATCCTGTTTATTCCTGTTACAAAAATCCACAACAGAAAGAAAATATTTGGGCAGAAACTGAACATCTGCTGGATGATGATGGGGATTTTTTTTAATATGTCATATTAAATTAAACGTTCACAGGGTTTATACCGGAATGAGGAACTCTAATTTAATGCTCTTTTAATGCTATTAGAAATAATTTTAATGTCATCAACAAGTATCATGTACACAAGTTATTAGTATACATGAAATAAGGAGCTGTAAGCACAGTTCCATGACTCAAGTTAGTGTATATATATCTATATATATATCTATATATCTATATATATAGATATATATATAGATAGATAGATAACATGGTGAAATCATCTTTACTCTCGACAGGCTGCAGCCATGTCACGAATTCCTCTTTTCCAGCCACTTTTTGACATTTGTATTGTCCTATTCTCTAGCTCTCTCTCCGCCTCAAGCTTATTTTCCAAACAACTGCTTTATGATCAATTGCAGCAGTTCTGCTCAAATTAATCGTGTCAAAAAATAGTCACTTTTTAAACACCACAATGTATTAAATAAATACAAATGCTGGGCACCAATTCTTTTTTTACATCTCTTTAATATTTTGTTCTATTCAACTACACAAGCTTCATCTTTAAACTACTAAGAATTGTACTATAAATGTGACTTTACCCGATTCTTATGTACACCGTAGTAATTTATTGATATGCCGCACAATGTCCTCCTTTTTGGTGCTATAGAAATGACCACCCTAGTAGCATACCATAGGAGTCAATGAAATAGCCTAGCACCTATATTAGCTAATGAGAAAAAAAAGAGCAGCTCATTATGCATTTGCTTGTTAGGAATCTTATGTTGAAGAAGTAGCTAACTTTGTTCCTTTGTAGTTTAAAGCAGTGTGGTGCTGTGTGGGTTTAAGTACTAAACACAGATGTATTGTTTCTGAATTTATAAAGGCCTTGATGGTAAGAAAGCAGCTTCAAAATATTGCCTAAACTAAGCAAGGTGTCTAATGACCACTTAGATAGGCGGGAAATGAAGCTACATGCTAAAAAGCTTAGGCCTTAGGTTATTTGCTGTCATAAATACCTGTTGTTAACCACAGCAGAAGGATTTAAGTGGAATGACTTGACAAGAATTTCCCAATAAATCAGCACACCTGCTGTTGAAATAAACTGTTTCAGGGACGCTAAATGCTACGCATAAATATGCGAGTGAGCAAATTGCATCATTTGGCACCTTTTAGGTAATCCTGTTTTTCCTCATGTTTCTGTGGCAGCCTCACCAAAGCTGGCAATTAACTCTGGAACCTGAATTCAAACACAATACTAAAGCACGGCCTTTTTCTCCCATTTCATTTATTCTGAATAAAACATACATTAGCTTAAAGATTAGTTTTCTTTCTCCTTAACGTCTGGATCAGAATTTAGAAAACTTTGCAGAAAAGCTCCCACACTTTGAATCAAAAAACTGTTTTATAATCTGTATGAATACAAGAAAAAGAGAAATGCTGGCTAAATGTTGAGAATTTAAAACACTCATTTTTGCTGATTAAGTTCAAATGTTTACATACAGTAAGGGCCGGATTTATCAAGATCCAATTTTGCGTGCAGTAATTTGCGCTCGCAAACTGGAATTTTGCGCGAGGGGCTGAACCATGGTTTGCGGGTGATTTAACAAGAGCGATTGCGTAACTGGTGGCAGGTGCAAAACTGTTGGAGACGCCCTACAACATTTTTTGAGGTAAAGAAGCAGAAATACACCCGTTCTGGCATCTTCACAGCCCGACATCCAGTGTTATTAAGGTGTATATTACTGCTTTCCTTTCATCCAGCCCGTGTGTTAAATAAAGGCTGGATCTTTTCATTCAAAAAAGGCATACATGAATGCTTTCCCTGATGATTCGGTTAGCGTTACCCTCCCAGTGATTACTGACTGAAGGTCTTAGTCTACCCTGCTTCTTATTTACCGCTACATTAGCGGCACGGCGCCGCGTGTTCCCACACACACGGCTGACAGAAAGCACCACAACACGGCTGCAAATCAGGGTGAAATTACATCAGCCCCTTACTTTGAACTACATGGAAATCAAACTTGTCACAGCACTGCTGGAAATGTCACCTGTCACCTCCATGTTTACCTTCTTGCTCGATTGCTGGCAGGGTTTAACAAATATACATGCATATCCGTTCGACTTGAGTGTTGTTTACCTGAATGTGAATGCGATGAATAGTGTTAGCAACTGAATGCAGCATTGTGAAAGAGACGGCTTAGCTAAAATGTTAGGGTGAAGATTTACTGCTATTTTGATTATTTTTTCCCCTCTCTCAGATGAAAAGGGTTTTTTATTCATAACTTTAGCCTCTTTTATGAAAAAGCAAGTATTTAAGAAACAATTCTATGGAGAGAATTTGGCTGCATTATTGTAGCAAGCAAAAAAAAACATGTTTTTTAAATACAAATTGAAAAAATTCAATACAGAAATAAAACTTTGAAAAACTTCTTAATTAAACAAAAAAAAAACCCTTTCAGAGTAACTTTACTGCTTTCTCACATTTTATTTTTGCATAAATGAAAAAAATATCCAGATTAATTCTATTTAAACTGTTTTTTCTTTTTTATACAGATTTGATATTTACAAATGTACTTTTTTTCTTCAAATTTCTATTTTGCAGGTTTAGGTATTGCTTTCTTATCAAATTCTGCTTTATAGATCAAAATTTCTTCACTTCAAGCCCAGTACAAACCTTTGCTTATTAACCAATAACCCCTTGATGCCCATACTGTAGATGCCAATATGCAACAAACCCTTTGCATTACGTACACAGCAAAGATAGCATGTGCCTTCCACCAGTGCCAGTTGTTAAAAATTTGGTGTAGACCTAGGAACCTTTGGCAGGAAGTTGTAGCAGACACAAGAGCTTGCCAAAGGTTCCTAGGTCCACACCGAATTTGTAACAACTGGCACTGGGGGAAAGCACATACTATCTTTGCTTTTTACGGTCTATGTTATCATTGACCATTATAAATGTTGTCACAAATTTGTAATATACATACATTTCTTTTTTTTTTACAATAAGAAAGTTTAAAAAAAAAATTTATTTGGCAACTACTTAAAGTCGTAGGGAAACGGCTGTTCCAACTGTTCCATTTTCGAATTCTTCTGAATTCCGAGTGAATAAAGTGAATGTGATTGGTTGTTTATCAAGAGGCGGGATTGTTGTGGCGGAAGGTTTGCAAGCAAGTTTGGTTGTGGCCGCTTTCTCGGAAGCACAACCAGTTAGCAACTTAGTGCTAGTAGGTTCCCAATGGGAAATTCCATTGGGACCAAGTAGCACTAAGTTGGTGACTTAGAAACGACACTGTCAAGGAACGCTATGGACAGAGGAAACATGCAAGAGGAGGAGAGTTTAGTGTCGGAGGTCGTGGATGAGTCTCCTCCATCATCCATTTTTTATTTAGAGGAGGAAAGTGGGGTTGAAGATGTTGTGGAAGAGGACGCCAGGGCGGCAGAAGCTTGTTTTGGTGTAGAAGGCTTACAGCCGTACATGTTTGAGCCCTTGCCTCTCAACGCT